ATCTCTTGACCTCGTGATCCAGTCCGCCTCAGCCTCCCAAAGTGCTGAGATTACAGGCGTGAGCCCCCACTCCCAGCCGATAGGTAATGTCTTATCATAGAAGTGCCATCTCTGATAAAGTTTTATCACAGCAGGCTATTTTGTGGAAGAAAAAGCCAGATTGCCATAGGTACTAATCAAACACCTAGGTACTTCCCAAAACATTAAGGTTCCCACTTGAAATATGACCCATTGGTGCCATGTGTTTGCTTCTTTTGTTGTTGTTGAGACAGATTCCTGCTCTGTCACCGAGGCTGGAGTATAGTGGTGTGATTTGGTTCACTGCAACCATCACGCCCCAGGCTCAAGTGATTCTCATCCCTCAGCCTCCCAAGTAGCTGAGACTATAGGTGCACACCACCACACTAAGCTAATTTTTTTTTTTTTTTTTTTAATATGGGGTTTCACCATGTTGGCCAGGCTACTCTCATACTGCTGACCTCAAGCGATCCGCCTGCCTTGGTCTCCCAGAGTTCTGGGATTACAGGCGTGACCCAGTGCACCTGGCTGCTTCTGTGGTTCTTTAAAGTGACAAACTTCTAAGTGTATCTGTGGTTTGGCTGCAGAGCCAACATAAGTACAGAGTGCCCTTTCTGTTTAATGCTGTGCATTTCTTGGGTTTGATGCAGCTGCTTTTCGGAGCAGCGGTGTTATGGGTGTCCCTGCTGTGAGACACAGGCAAGTGGTGCAGGAAACAGAGCCGTGTGACATGGCAGAGGACAGGTGAGGCACCAGCCAGAATTGGAGACCCAACCCTCCCTGCTTGTCATACCGGGTGGGACACCAAGGTTGTGCCAGATAGGAAAGTTAGCGTATTTTGAGGGTTGTGGAAAAGTGGGATGCAAGTTGTACAGATCCAGTTCGTAAGAGAAGTTGGAAAGAATAGAAGTTGCTTGATACATGCCAGAGCTTCCTGCATGGTGCCCAGATGAAGCATCAAGTGGCCCCTTAGTCTCTAGGCAGAACCAGGGGCATTGGGAATGTCCTCTGCCATCACCTGAGTGTGCCATGGTGTGATGAAAATGGCCTGAGAAACATGTGGCAGCTGTCCTCCAGCTCCATAGCCTGCCCAGTTAAGGAGCTATACTTGCAGGGAGGGCAGAAGAGAACCTAACCCTAACAAATGCATTGGCCATGAGATATCGCAAGGAAATGGCATCTCTAGCTCGGAGACTAAAGAAATCAGCCAGCCAGCCAACCTGGGTGACTTGTAGCTCCAAGTGAACATTAGTTGACTTCTGGGGTGCTTGATGTTGGGGTCTTGAGCCTGCTTGGTGCTTGCACGTAGACATCAGTATTCAGCAGCAGCCAGCTCAGGTGGCTCATGCCAGGCCTCTCCTTCAGCTCATGACCAGCACTGGGAACCTCGTTCCTCCACTCTGGTACCTCTCATGGTTGTGTTTAGGGATACGTTAGGGTTTGTTATTGAAAGAAAGGGGAGTACAGTGAACATCTCCTCATGTAGAAGTTGCTAGCCAGAAAGCACTAGCAGGCCAGGAATAGTGACTTACACCTGTAATCCCAGCACTTTGGGAGGCCAAGGTGGGAGAATCACTTGAGGCCAGGAATTTGAAGCCAGCCTTGGTAATATAATGAGACCCTTCTCTATAAAAAGTTAAAAATGAAAAAATTAGCTGGGTGTGGTGGCACACATCCATGGCCCCAGCTACTCGAGAGGCTGAGACAGGAGAATCAACTTGAGCTTGGGAGGTCAAGGCTGCAGTGAGCTGTGATTGGGCCACTACACCCTAGCCTAGGTGACAAAGCAAGACTTCATCTCAAAAAGAATAAAGAAAAGGAGGCACCAGCGCCATGGTGCAGTAGGAGTGGACTGCAGGAGTGGACTGCCAGACCTTCTCAGCAGCCCTCTGCCACTGGGCTGGGCTGGGCTGGGCCCCACCTCTGGCAGCTTCCAGGCTTCTTGCAGACCCATCACCTGGCTCAGGTACCCAGCCACAGATGGTCCTTGTATTATTGAGTGACCAGCTTGATCTATTTACAGAAAGAGAAAAATTAAGAAAATGTGCCCCAGAAGGAAAAGAGTGAGAAGTAGCCACAGCTCTCTTGATATTGGTTGGTTTGTTTTACATATTTTATCATGGAATTTTGTTTTCTTTTACTGAATATATTGGGTGTGGGCTTTTAATTTACTTTTTTTGTTGTTTTCTTATTGCCATTGGCATTAAGCTCTGATTTATATTAAAACTTACATTAGGTCAGTATTTGTTTGGATATTATTTACAGTTTTAACCCTTATGAAGTGAATATTAACTAGAATAATGAAATGCAGTTATGCAGTTTCATAACACATTGATACTAATGCTTGTCAAAAAGAAAAATTAGTTGTAATCCAATAGAACAAATTTTGCTACTGAAACTAAAAGTTTCAAAACTAGAAAACTATTAAAATTTACATACTCTGTTGTTAATTATAAAATAAATGCCACCGGGCTCAGTGGCATGTGCCTGTAGTCCCAGCTACCAGGGAGGCTGAGGTGTGAGGATCTCTTGAGCCCAGGAGTTCTGGGCTGTAGTGCGCTGTGCCTATCGGGTGTCTGCGCCAAGTTCAACATGAGTATGGTGACCTCCTGGGAGCGAGGGACCACCAGGTTGCCTAAGGAGGGGTGAACTGGCCCAGGTCAGAAATGAAGCAGGTCAAAACTCCGTACTGATCAATAGCGAGATTGCGCCTGTGAATAGCCACTGCATTCCAGCCTGGGCAACATAGCGAGACCCCGTCTCTAGAAAGAAAAAAAAAGAAAATTAAAATTTAGAAAAAAGGAAATAAATAAATGCCATATAAGGCTAATAGCCTATAACCCTGGGATCCTTAGGTTGATTACGTTTTGCTGGTAAAGGAAGAGCATTTAGGAAACAGCTGAGGCTGTCGGAGCTGACACTTTTTTTTTTCCCCCTTTGGGACAGAGTTTCACTCTTGTCGCCGAGAATGGAGTGCAATGGCACAATCTCAGCTCACTGCAACCTCTGCCTCCTGGTTTCAAGCGAGTCTCCTGCCTCAGCCTCCCAAGTAGCTGGGATTATAGGCGCGTACTACCACGCCCAGCTAATTTTTGTATTTTTTGTAGAAACGGGTTTCACCATGTTGGCCAGCTGGTCTCAAACTCCTGGCCTCAGGTGATCCACCCTCCTCAGCCTCCCAAAGTGCTGGGATTACAGGCATGAGCCACTGCACCTGGCTGAGCTGACACCTTTTTAAAGTGAAGACCTTCCTGAGCGAATTAACACAGGAACAGAAAACAGCTCAGGTTCTGACTTACAAATGGGAGCCAAACACTGAGTTTACATGAACACAAACAAGGGAGCAGGGGACACCGGGGCTTGCTTAAGGGTATAGGGTGGGAGGAAGAGGAGGACTGAAACACTGCCTATTGGGTACTGTGCTCACTGCCTAGGTGATGGAATGATCTCAACAGCACACCCCCTCAACACACGATTTACCTGTGTGACAAACCTGCACATGTGTTCAATGAACCAAAAATAAAAAGTGGAAAAAACAAAATTGAAGACCTTCAGATTACCCATAAATGTTGCTTTCCTCAACGCTGGTGCCCTCATTCTTTTCTTTTCTTTTCTCTT